GATGCTGGCCTGCTCTGACCAGTTTTTTTACTCTGCCTCTCTTAGTTTTTTGTTTCCTCCTCTAAGATTATTTTCTTCCTGGGGATCAGCAGTTAGTGCTATAGTGCTTTTAAAAAGGAAGCTCATATCTACTATGCAGGCTCTAAATGGAAGCCCTTAAATAGATCTTTCAGTAAAGCTTTTTTAAAAGAAAAAAAGCTCCCAAGAGAACTTAGTTTGTAAAGGTTAATCTGAGAAAGAAGAGATTTTTTGGAGAGGAGCCTTCCACAGTGGAGTCTGGAGGACGACCCTGGTAGGAACTCGCGAGGAGGGCACCAGACGCTGACCTGGCATAAAGCTTATGCCCGTCTGGTTCAGCCCTAAACTCCCTGGAACATCCCGGCTCCTCTTTTCCTGATGGTGCCATACAATGGGGGGCATGGGCAGGATTATTGTCCAAGGATTAATTTCTGTTAATGAAGTTATAATTAACTTCAGCGGCTCAGGCACTCTGTAGCTCGGTCCGCTGAAACTGTGCCCACGGTGGATGGCTAGCGGGCAGAAGGAGGCACCTTTGGCATCCAGCGTGCTCACCGGCATTCCTCCTTCTTCAGGGTCGGTGGGCCCCCATGTTTTTCCCTCAGTGAAGCAATCTGAGGTGACCTTGCTTAAAACAGAAGAAAGCGGCAACAGCCGTGCAGCGCTTTGTTTCATTGTTCTAGACTTTCAGCCTCTTTCTGTGTTGCTGTTTTAATTAGCTAATTTTCTTCGCTCGGAGAAGATTCTTTTGCCTGACAATTTCTCCAGCATGGAGGTCCTGGAGGCTGAAGCCGAGGCCTTGGGGATCCCTGAGGTTATGGAAGCTGTGAAGAGCTATCGGAGCAACCCTGGTGTGGGTCTACTCACCTTTTCGTCTCCGTACTGATTAATTTTCAAGTAAAAGGGACTTTCTGTGTCACAGTGGCCAAGTATTTGACCCCGGGGGGGGGGTATCCGGGGATACAATTAGGATGTGAGAAAGGATGGTCTGTTCCCGGTTTTAAGTAAATCCTTATGTGTATGCACATAAAAATAATGTTTTTATGCTCCTGATAGAACACATAAAAACTGCACTTCTAATGTATTTCAAACTGTGCAAACTGTTCTAATATCAGAGCTTATTTTAAATTCTTGTTTGTTTAGTACCTGGGATTTCTGCTTCCCTTAATAAAAGTAACTTTTCCAGGAATCTTGGTGCAGAACGCTGTTTAAGCCTATCTCATTCGCTTTGTGAGATAATAAAGGCAGGCATGGTGTGAGTCCCTTGAATGTGCAGGGATGTTTCTTAAATGCAATAACTGGGGCCATGAGGTCTTCCTTTTGCTCAGACCGTGGTGGACCTGGGAGGAAAGTCTAACCGGAAGGTCATTCCTCACCCTATGGGCCTTTTCTGCCAGGGTTCTGTCCAGAGGAGAGAGCCGGCGATCAAGGCTCCGTGCGAAGGGATGCGGAGGGGCAGCGAGGGGCTCCCAAGGCAGCCTGGCGCCCCCTCCCTTTGTACCCCATGGCTCTGGGCCTCTTGGTCAAGTACCCAGATTCGGCCCTGGGGCAGCTGCACGTGGAGGGCACCCTGGATGGAAACCGGCTCTACCTCTCAGGGAACGGCGTCCTTTTCCAGCACGTCACGTACGTACGTCTCTGGGGAAGGCCATTTCTGGCACTCCTGAGGAATTTGCGCCACCCTCCTCTTTTCATGAGGAAAATCTCCCTCCCTCCCTCCCAGGAGACATCCCGAGTGGGGGACTGACTCGTCCACAAGAGCTTAAGAAACCCTCCTCCTAAGAGCTTGCCGTGGCCACCCCGTGAAAGGGGACCCTTCCTGCGGGTCATGTCTTGCAGGGGAAAGCCAAATCACTGTGGAGCAAAGAGTAGGGTTGATCCAGTTTGCGTGTGTGCGCGCGCACACACACACACGTACTCCCCCATCTGTTCCCTCCTCCCGGTCACTCACAGCGGCCAGGTGCAGAGAAGAGGGAGGAGGGCTCTGAGGGGGCCCCTTCGGAGAGGAAGAGCGGCAAAAGCCCTGACGGACGCCCGCTTCTCTCCGTCTGCAAAGGAACTGGCTGGGAACCTGCCGACTCCCCCTGACCCGGAACATCTCGGAGCTCCCCAAGCTCTGCGCTTACCTGGATCAAATGGACGCCGTGTATGAGCCCATGAAGGACGCTTTAAAAATATATCTAAAAGAAAGGATGCCCACAGGTGCTGTGGGAAAGGGTAAGGGCACACTTCGCTTTGGGACACTGACCATTTTGTAAACAGGGTGTGAACGGAAGGGATGGTGTACTTTGAGAATTTTCCTTTCCGGTCTGTAGTGGTTACCCAAAGGGTTTATAATTTCCTGCTATGTCTGTTTAGCCAGCCTAGTGTAGAGGATAGAGTGAGGGACTAGGACTCAGGAGCCCTGGGTTCAAATCCCTGCTCAGCCCTGGAAACCCACTGGGGGAGTGGAACTGGCAAAGCTGCTCCTTTGCCGGCCTTGCTCCCCTCACTTGCAAATGGGCTGGGGGGGAGGCGATGGGGCAGGCCAGGAAAGGAACTTTTCTGCTCCTAGTGCAACGTTCAAATCTGTGGCATCAATCCCAATGAACTGATGCCACATCCCCTTCAAAATAAATGGGGATCTCTGGAGAAGGAGCAGAACAACCTGCTCTCCTGGCACATTACTCTGTGCATGCGTGCACTTAGCGTGGATGCCAGAAATTGAGTCCTTTTTTTTAAAAAAGGAAAACCTGATATAACAGCATTTTTAATTGTCAGTAGGATTGAACCCTTAAGCAGGAGATTTGTGCATCTGGCACAGTTAGCTCTCCCCTCTCCTCACCCCCATCCTCCCCTCTGACCTCCGCGTTGAGGCTGCCTTTAAAACCATGTCCTTGTGCAATGCTCGCTTTCAGGTGCTGACTGGACAGCTGAAATGGCCGTTTTCCCACTCCACCACATTGTAAAAGTGTACGTAGGAAGTCACTGGTATGCCACTTACTTGCAGACCTTGTTAAAGGTAGGGTCCTTCTCCTTCTCCTGAGAATTAATCTTGACTCATGTGCAGCCTGTAGCGACCAGGAAATCAACGGTGAAATGCAAACCAAAGAGAAAGAGATGTGAAGCGTATTTGGGGCCAGCGGGGCTTCAGATGAGAAGGGTCCCAGATCCAGCAAGACCTCAGAGCCACTGGTCTGCTTGTGCAGGAGCCCTCTCGTTTGCCAAGACCCACCGAGGCTGTCAGTGTCTTCCTCTTCTTCTTCCTCTTCTTCCACCTCCTCCTCCTCTTCTCCTCCTTCTTTCTAAATTGCTCTCCTCGCCACTTAGTGGCCAGGCCAAAACTTTGGGTGGCTAACAAATCAGAGCAACATAATATAAGCATATAAAAAACAGCAATAATCTAATCTAGTAAATCACCACTCAACGAAATCAAGTCTCTAAATATAACATATGAAATTGATGGCTTTCTCCTCAGTTATATCCTTGTTCCATTTCTCTTTGTCCCGTTGTCAGCCCTAATAATAGCCCCTCTCCAGTTGTCTTGGCCAGAGAGAAGACTGTAAGGGCTCCCCAGACACCAAGAACGGCAAAAGCAACAACAAAAATCATGACACCTTTTCCCAATGCAGAAGCTTTCATTATGTCTGTGCTGCAAAATAACATTTTATGCATCTGACCGCAAAAGCTTATTGCCACCAATAAATGGTGAGTCTTCAGGACTCAGAAAACTCTTTGACTGCACCTTGGAGGCTGAGAAGATTCACTTTGGTGGAGGGGCCACATGCTTCCTTGAGAGGAACCTGGGGCCTCCTGCATGCAAAACCACTGCAGCGTGCATGCACGCACGCACACAGACACAGACACAGACACAGACACACACACTCCATATGTTGTTGAAAGGCTCTGGGGTGGCAGCCTGGTTCCCCTTGAAGACCCATTTCTCCTCCAAGCCTGTTCTTTGACAATATGCTGTGATCTGTTGAGGGAAAGACGTTCTTCCTGGAGAGAGGGAGACGTGGTGTCTCTGAGGAAAAGGTGGGGCTCAAGGAGTGCGGGGGGGCCCCCCTCTATTTCCAAACACACCCCTCTGGGATTTCTCTGTCCGGCCAGTTTCCAGAGCTGCTGTCAAACTGCCGGAAAGCATCTTGGATCGCTTACGGCCAGAGCCTCCTCATTCATGGAGATGGGCAGATGTTTCGACACGTCCTTAACTTCCTTAGACTCGGCAAGTTGTTCTTACCATCTGACTTCAAGTAAGTGGAAATGTTGCCTTGTGCTGCGTTCTGTGGCATCTCGAGAAGAATTTGCTGGTTTGTTTTGTTTCATAAAGTCGCCAGAAGAGCCATTCTGGATGGGCCCAGAAGCAGTCTTTCTCTGGTTCCCCAGTTCATCTGGAGCAGTGGTTCCCAGCCTTGGATCCCCAGATGTTCTTGGTCAGCAACTCCCAGAAATCCAGAACAGGACAGCAAGTGGTGAAGGCTTCTGGGAGTTTTAGTCTAAGAACCTCTGGGTGACTCTAAGTCGAGAACCACCGCCCTGGAACACGATGTGTTTCATTCGAGGATGTAGAGCAGCTTCCTTGCTCTGTGCATCTGAGAGTGGGATTTCCCTGTCATGGCTTGTGAGTTATGGGCTGTATTTGAATGAGAGTCATGGTTCTAACAGATAATTGTTTATTGCTTTAGCAAGTTGAACGAGAGGTCTCCATGGAGCCAGGTAGAGTACTATATCATGAATTCTTTCCAATGGACAGGGAATGGTCTCTTCTACGCCAGGAAGTCATGGAGTACCAGATCCCTTCTCTTGTGGAAGCCCTTTGCCAGTATGACACGCACAGGTATTCTCATTTCTCTCCTTCTTGATCTAACTAAGGGACAGGGGCTGTGCTGGTAAAAACAACACAAAATGTGTTTCAAGACTGTCTGAAGGTACCTTATGTAAAAAAAAACAAAAAAAAACCACCCCAAACCAAAATGAAAAAAATAACTTTGTTGGTCTTCAAGGTAGCAGGGAGTATCTTGGGTGTTGAATAGCCAACAAAGGAAGAGGGCATTTTTGAGACACTTTGGGCATGATGTCTCCCTTGCTGCCCCACGGTGGATGGGAGGAGGGGACCCCCCCCTCCAGGAGGCAGGACCTGTTTTCTACACCTGGGGCTCCCTGGGGTCTCCTCCTCTGTCTCTTTCTCTTGTAAATAAATTGGCGGAGGTTTTCTGTCCATCACCTTCTGTCTTGGTCTTTTCGTAGGAGAAGATCGCCCTTGGAGGTACCCGATTATGCAGGGCAGTAGGAAAGGTTTCCTGTAGAGAAGTCTTGCTGGCCAGTGAATGTCCCTGTTTTCTATTCCAGATTACGGACGCAACCACAAGATGCTCAAAGCGAGGCTTTCCCATTTAGAAATCTTGAGATTTCAGTATCGGAGAAGGAAGATGAGGCGGGTGAAAATCCCCAAGAAGTAACGACATCTCCCCCTCCTCCTCCTCCCTATGACTGTTAACTTTAGTCCAGGAGATACGTGGTGTGTCCTCTCTCTCTCTCTCTCTCTCGCTCTCGCTCTCGCTCTCGTTCGCTCTCTTCCAAACGGTTTCCCAGGTTTCCTTGGATTTGTGTCCCTTCCACTTCCTTCCCTCCAAGGAAGGGAAGCAAGGCTGGAGAGGGGGTTAGGAGGGAGCCCTTTGTCTCTGGTGATTAGCCTGGGACTCTGAGAGGGGGGGCAAGGTCTCTTTTTTGGAGGGGGGTCTTTCCAGGCACAGCATGTGTTCCATGCAAAGGTCCAGGTTTCTTTGCCATCTGGGCAATGTCCTTGGATCTTGCTTCCCACCATTTCCCCCAAGCGTGCCTGCACTCTTTTCTTTTTCTTTTTTTCCCTCTTATGCTCCTTGGTTTATTTTTCTTGTACAGGGCTGCATGGGGCTGCGTGGGGCTGCGTGGGGCTGCACGGGGCTGCACGGGGCTGTGGAGCTCCGTGCTGATGGGACCCCGTGCGCAGTGAGGTCTGTGGTGAGAGTGTCTCAGGCAAAGCTGTCAGATGGGGCTGCGTGGGGCTGCGTGTGGCTGTGTGGGGCTGCATGGGGCTGCACGGGGCTGTGGAGCTCAGTGCTGATGGGACCCCGTGCACAGTGAGAGTGTCTCAGGCAAAGCTGTCAGATTCTCTCTTTATGAAAAGGATCGAGAGGACCCATGGTGACCGAAGAACAGATCCTGTCTTGCCTCGCCTTGCCTCCTTATAAAGGCATCCCTGGGGGAGGGGGTGTCTCTTTCTCTTTGACAGACAGAACTGCTGCACTGAGAATCCAGATCAGTACTAGATCTGCCTGCGTATGCCGTCTGTAGTCCAAATTTAATTTTTTTAAAAAAATAAATAAAAGGACAGATTGCAGTGTAGCACATGCAGCTTTCATGGCAAGCATCATCCCCTTCCCCTTGTGATCGCTCCATCTTTATACCATCACTGCTTCAATTTCTTTCTTCCCACAAAAATTCAGGGAAGGAGAAACAGTGGAATAGCTGCGCCATGCGTGGTTTTTGACTGGTACGTGAAGAGCCACCTGTATGGAAACACTCCGAGAGCCCACGGTGGTTGTCCTCAAAGGACAGATGTGCTGAAATGGCAGTGTGGTGGCAGCTCTCTTGATGTTTTCACCCAGCAAGATTTCCACTCTCCAGGGAAATCCCGGCGGCTGCCAGACTTCGCCTGCAGCCACGCCATCCCATTTTTGCTGCTTTTACTGGGCGGGCAGGACTTCTTGTGGCTAAGCTTGCTGGGAAACCATAGTGACTTTGGGAAGGTAAATGTCCCTTGAATAAGAGGTTGCTGCTTTTTAAAAGGAATCCTTTCTTCTCTCCTTCTTTTTTCTCCAGTGTTCACATATTGTGCTGGATTTAGACCAAGGCGCCAGGGACTGGAGGGCGAACAGAGATGCAGAGGGCATGAAAGAGGGCAGCGGGGAGAATGAGAAGAGCCCTGGGGCTTCCCTGACTAAGGCAGCGAAGCGAAGCAACCCCTGGGAAGCAGGTCCGCCGCCTTTGGGCAGCTGGGGCCACCCCTGCAGCGGCAGGCAGCCGGAGAGCCCCCCGAGGAAAAGAGGGCAGAAAGGCAACGTGACCAAGAGATCTGATGCCAGAGACACCCCCATCCAGAGGCTCATCTCCCTCGTTCAAGGATGGGACATGGTGAGCCGCAGGCTCCACGAAGCCGGACCCGTGCCGGCACCCAGCGGCATCAAGGCAGAGGAAGAGCCCAGGCGGAGAGCCCCCTGCCCCTCGCCAGCCGGCGGCGGCCTTGAACCCTCCTGCCACGGCCTTGTCATCCAGGCGGCCCCGAAAGCCGGGCCGTCCCTGCCAGCTCCCTCCGGGCGGGAGGGCTGGCGTGGCCAGACTGGCAGCCCAAGCCTTGCTGAGGAGAGGACGACGACGACGACGCTTCTGGGGCCAGAGCCGAGGAGCCGCCAGAGAGGGAAAGGTGAGGGGGGGGCTCCTTGTTCCTAAGCTGGGGAAGAAGTCAGTGCTGAGGATGATGGCAAGGAGGTCTCTGCTGAGGAGAGGACGCCGACGCCGACGCCTCTGGGGCCAGAGCCGAGGAGCCGACAGAGAGGGAAAGGTGAAGGGGGGGCTCCTTGTTCCTGAGCAGGGGAAGAAGCCAGTGCTGAGGATGATGGCAAGGAGGTCTCTCACTCGCAGGAGGGACAACCAGCCGCCCTTGCTTTCCATGCCCAGCCATCCAATTGTCCTGGGAAGCTAGCGAGGGCAGGGTCAGATAACCATTGTAATGCTTCGTTTTACACGGATACATGTGCCGCCTTATTAAAATCATGCTAACCATTTACTTTTGTTTTTGTTTGTGTTTTTCCATTCCACCTACACCGGTCTAGGGACGTTCCCGGAAGACGCCAGTGCTGCTGCTGCTGCTGCTGCTGCCGCTGGTAACCTGCGAGGCAAGGCTGGCTTGATTTTGAAGCTCGAGCATCCTCCAGTGGTGGCTGCTGATGGCTCTTGCATGGCTCACGAGGGCAGCATCCTCTACAGCACATGCCTGGAAGACATGAAGCTAGCCAGCTCCCTTGCACCACCGGGGGCCCAAGGTGCAGCCCGCGTGATCACCCTAGATGGGTCTGGTGTGGAAAGAGCACTCGGGGGGGGGGGACGGGGACGGGTTCTTGGGGGAGAGGACTGGATACAGAAAGTATCTGTCCTTGCAGGGATGCCTGCAAGGGTGCATCCATCAGCTGAGTGGATGGCTGCACAAATCTAGCAATGCTAATTGCAGACCGTGGGTAAGGAAAGAGCAGGCTAAATTGCTGGGGGGTTGTGTGTGGGGAAACTGGAGGTGCCCTGACTCTTGGCTGCTTTCAGAGGTGGTCTTCTTGAGCTTCCCCTTGTCCCAAGAGGAGATCTTCTATGCCCGTAAGTGCCATGCTTTTCTCACCGATGTCATCTTGGAGTCCATAAGGCAGAAGGATTCCCGGGAAACAACGGCCAAAGTCGAGGGACTTGTGCAAAGGTTGTGGGTAAGCTGAGGCCACTTCTGTTGGGTTTACGGAGCCCCTCGGTGGGCTGGCAAGAGCCCTGGACTGGGCCGTAGGCTCTCTCTTCATCCTGGAGAGAAGATGTTCCCCCTCGACTCCAGGCTCAGATTTGGATAGCCTGGCTGGACCGGGTCAGAGGATTTGGAGCACAGCCGCAGAACCCCCGACCCTCACCGGGGTCTCTCCCCCGCAGCGGCCCCCTGGGGGCAGAGGGGAGCCCACCCTCTCAGTGCCTGCTTTCCAGGCAGTTCCCAAGGCCCTCTGAAGGGCCCCCGGCAACCCCGCCGGCTCCTCTGCCAACGAAGGAGGGCAGGAGGGCAAGCGAGACTGGCGCCCAAAAGGCACCTCCTTTCTTGCAGAGCCTGCAGATCTCGGCAGAGGAGTTTGTGGCTGGCCTGCTGGGAGTGGCGCCCTTCAGGGCCAAAAGCCAGGCCAAAAGCCACAACGAGACGTTCACGCGGTGGATCGAAGTAAGTCCGAACGAGGGTTTGGCTGCCTTCCGCGTGGAAAGGACCAGCCGGGGTGACCCTCGTACGCGGCGAGAAGCGCCGGGCTTTCGGGATGGGGGTAGACGAGGAACACCCAAGAGGTGCCTCAGGGGCCTCGCCTTGGCCCCGCGTGGGAGCTGGCCTGTGCTGCTTTTTCCTTTTCAGTTCACTCTGCCATTTGCCTGGAAGTACAGCTGCTGCATGGACCTGCTGATCAAGAAAGGCTATTTCAAGTCCCTCTCCCTTTTCATGCTAGAGAAATATCTGCACAAGCCTCAATAAAAGCAAAGTCCTCCTTGGCTTCTGGCAGCTCCTCCATCTGGTCTCGCGGCACCCCCTGCGACGCCCCAAAGAAAGCAGCAGCAGGTCTTTCTCGCCCAGGCTCTCCCCGCTGCTCCCACCCTCCTGTCCGTGGGCCTCTCTTGGGACACGCAAGAGCCACGAGCCCTTCCTGGCAGCCTCGAGGGTGGCCTCCTGTCATGCTGCACCGAGGAGGCCCTTCCCTACGAGGGCCTTTTGAGTCCTGCCTGCCACTAAGAGGCCACGGAGGAGGAAGATGAACGCATACCCAGGAGCTGGGCCCCCCCTTTTCTCTCCGCCTCCGAGAGCGGCCTCTCTCCCTCTCTCTTTCCTCCAGGCTCAGCAAGGCAGCGGGAGGGGAACCAACGCTTTTTGAGGCGCATGTCCTCTGCGGCAGGCAGTGTGACATGGCCGTTTGCGCATGGAGGACATGTTCACCGCACCCCTTGTGCTGAGTGTCAGTTTATGGGCCAGTTCATCTTTCAAAAGGCTACCACTTTTCTGCTTAGAACCCACTCCCCAGTGTTACTGTTTTTGCATAGTGGCCTTGGATGTTATGATTTTTAATGATTCAAAAAAGGGAAGGAATTGATGCCCTAGGGGCTGACCCTTGGGGAACCTCTGGGATGAAACACCACCCTTCCAGGACACTCTGCCCCTGGAAGGCACGCTGGCCTGGGGATCTCTCCCCCCGTCCCCGGGTGTCACTGCTTCCCCAGTACGAGGGATCTCCTGTCTGCCTCCCAGTTTAGCCCCTCACTTTCCAGTGGCCAGTCCACTCTGGGGGCTTGCCTGCTTTTCCCTGCAGCCACCCAACCTCTCGCACTCAACGGTTCTGGGAGGCTGAGCGGGGCTTTGTGGCAGTCCTTCTACACCCATCACTTCTTCCCCCCCCCTTGGAGGAATGCAGTACCCCCCCCCCGGAGGTCCTTCCTGGGTGACCAGACTCTTCCTCCATCAGATATTCCATAGGAAGGGGCTGGACTGATGTGGTGGTTTTGTCTCCCTCACCCCCTGGGATAACAACCACTGAGCATCAGGGGGAAAGACTGGGCTTCATGTCACCTATTTTACGCCCTTCTCAGAATTTCCTTTAGAAATAACTATATAATCAACAGTGTAGTAGAAGAAACAAGTTTATTCAATAATTCAGTCAAACTTTCCATTGGTTCCAGGCACACAATAATCTTGGATCTTCCTTCCACAATGAAAAAAATTGAAAACAATTTGAGGCATTTCAGCTCCTGGTGAGATAAAGGCTGAACCCCAATTCACTCCTGGATCCCTCCAGTTTCCTAACACACCTTTTCCCTCCATAACATCTGTTAGACTAACCAAGAAATATTACCCAAAACATGGAAACTTTTAAATCAATCTCAGTCCAGCCATTTTCCGTGTACTATTCTGTGAAAGGTCTCTGGAATGAAACACCAGGTAAAAAGAGGAGTAGAAATAACTGGAGGCAAAAACAGTCTATTAAGTACAGGAATAACATAAGGGCCATGTGGATTTTCTGAAGGCAACAGGAACAAGAAAGGCTGGCCAGAGAACTACCCTGGCAGAGAACAGCGATCACACCCTCAAGCCAAGGAGGGCCAGGGGGTCCCCGAGGGGCCTAGAGATGCTCCCAACTCTCCTGTCAGCCCTTCCTCAGAGAAGCCGGGCGAGAGGCAACGGTCCCCTCTCCACACTTCCTCCACCCCCTCTGGCCTTGCGCTTGTTTGCCCCCAGGAAGAGACGGAGCAGGGTGAATTCCTGCAGAGTATTTGGGGGCCCTGCTGGGAATGGAGGAGACTCTCCTGGAGCAGAGGAGGGAGATGGGAGGCTGTGTAGTGATGGGTGGGGCCGCAGGGGAGGGGCGCCAGATGTTTAAAGAGTGGCCCCACCTTGTGAAACAGGCAGCTGCCTGCACATCGAAAGCAATGCAATCAGGAAGAAAGGCCAGGGCTGCTTTCTCTCTTGAAGGCAAAGAGATCTTCAGCTTGTGACGCATACGCACACACCGCCCCCAATTTGGGGTTGCTAAGGGGTGCTGCCCATTCCCCCCCACCCCCAATTCCACTGCATGGACAGAGCAGGCTCTCTCATCTCCTGGCCCCCAACAAAAAGGGCTTGTCAGAGGGGGCTGCTGAACCCACCCAGGGGCTGGCCAGGTGACTGAACTCGGCCAGGGGGTCAAGGAGGCACCTGTGGAGCCCGCTAACCAAGAACTCGAGAGGAAAGACAAAGCAATAAATTATCCTAAGTCCAGGCAAAAGCTAAACAAGGAGAACTGGTCCAGAGGTCAAGGTTCAACGAACAGAGAACGGTGCTCTGCTTTTGGAAAAGAAATACTTCCTTTCTTTCTGTGCTTTAGAAACCTTTAAAATGTGCAGCCTGTGGTAGAAAAGCACTCACCGAGTGACCAACCAGCCACTCTCTCTCCCCGATGGCCATTTGTCCAGATGCACGGCCGTTCTTTGAGAAGGGGCCCTGCCAGACCCCACCCCACGGAGCCCCACTATCCCCCCCCAAAAAAACCTCCACACCTTTTATGGAGGCTCGGGGCACCTTCCAGAGCATCAGTCCCAGCCGCTGCCTTGCCCAGTCACAACACAGCATCAGGAGGACACGGTGGCCCCGCAGCCTCCTTGGCACAGAAGGTGGGGAGGAGTGGCCCACGGAGGGGCGGCCCACTCACTCAGGTGCCCTTCGGCCACGGGCCACACACAGGCGGTCCTCCCTGGGGCCTGGCCTCCCGAGGGTGGTGTGGGGAACAGTCCGGTCCCTTCCTCCTGGCTCCTTTGGAACAGCAGGGAAATGGGCCTTCAGACCTGCAACACAGCATCACTCGTGGTCAGAGGCTCTTGGGGGTGGGGTGGGGGCTCCCACTGGAAGGGAGGGAAGGCTCTCCTTCCCCTCCCACGAAGGGACCAGAATCCAGAGAAGCCCAGCGCGCCATCATGACATGCAACCCTCCCCCCACCCCCGGCACAGACGAAGGAGCCTGCAGGCATTCTGAGTACGTGAGCAAGGCCACCAGCTAGAGGAAAGGCAAATCCCAGCCGCCAAGACCTCAGCCTCTCTTGCGGAGGGTCTTCCCCCCCACCTCGCCTCTGCCAAGGTGAAGGGACATCTCAGGGAGGGGCTTCAGCCACACTGTGCCTCCGAAACGCTCTGGCTTCAGGAGGATCCTGCACGGCACTTACTGCAGAGACGTACTGGCTCTTGGGGAAGTGGGGCTTCTCCTCAGGAGGAAGAGGCAGCGGCCAGGCCAGGCCAGGCCAGAGAACCCCTGCAAGGCACAGAGGATGGGGGGCGGCTCGGATCCTGCACGGCACTTACTGCAGAGACGTACTGGCTCTTGGGGAAGTGGGGCTTCTCCTCCTCGGGCAGCGAAGGGAAAGGAGGGCCTGCCAGGAGGGGCAGGGGAGAGCCCCGGTCGTCACAGAAGCCCTCCCGGGGAGCACGGGCCACGCAGACACTGTCGGAGCCACTGGAGCCGCTTCCAGACAGGCACTGGGAGGACTCCGAACTCTCGGTTGCTGGGAGCAGAGAGGGAAAGAGAAAAAGGCCTCGTCAGGACCCCGAGGGGACGACGACTCGGGCACCAAGGAACCGTCAGGACCAGGCTTTTCTGATGGAGACGTCCCTCCCGGGGGGGGGGAACCAAGGTGCCCGGTGCCACCCCAGGGAGATGACGGCTTTGAGGGGAGGGAGGTCAGAGAGAGGGAGGGGGCGGAAGGATGGAAGGAGGCCCCCAGAGGCTGAGCAGAGTTTGCTCAGGTGATCCTCCTGATTCTAGCAAGCAGCATCCTGAGGCTGAGGGGACTGCAGATGGACCACGAGCTCATCCAGGGGAAACAGCGTAGGAAAGCCCCCCTGCCCCCCGCCAGCCAGAGGAGGAGCAGGAGTCCAGGGCAGGGCCGGAGACAGGGAAGCCGCCGCGGTACGTACTCATGGACGGCTGGCTGCTGGTCTCGTTCTCCATCTCATCCTCCTCGAGGCAGGACTCCACCTCAAAGGAGCGGCTGGTGGACAGCAGGTTTGGCAAGAGGGCCCGATCCAGGTGCAGGTGCAGGTTGAGAGGGCCGAGCACAGAGCAGGAGGAGGGCCCGCCGGCGGACAGAGGAGGAACCTGCGATCTCGTGAATGGACTGGTGTGGTCAAAGAGGGAGACGGCGATGGATGCCCGGGTTCGTGCTCCTGGCACAAGGCAAGACACCAAAGGATCAGCTCCTGGCTGGCAGTGCTGCGTGGAACCCCCGGCAGAGGCAAAGCCAGGGGGCAGGGGGCAGGGGGCAGGAGGAGGCAAGGCCCAGCCGCACTGACCTCTGCCCTTCATGATGTAGTCAATGGCCCGGTCGTGGATGGCCGCCTCGCTCGGCTTGATGTCCAGGAAAGGTTTGTTCCCCACACCCATGGACACCATCTCCTGCCGGCGTATTTCTAGCAGGAAGACAACCACCGTGAAGGGCTGCGCATCCTCTGGGACCTCCCTGGCCAAAGCCCAGCAACGTTCTCTGGCCAGACAGATGGGCTCTCCAGGCAGTGGGGCAGGGACAGCCACGGAGCTCAAGCCGAGCCAGCCCGCAGGAACGAGAGCCCAAGGGAAGCCCCGTGGCTTGGGCCTGAGGGGCTGCAGGATGCCCCCCCCCCGGGGAGGGCTCCCCTCTCGGGCAGAAGCACCAGCTTCAACCAGGCCACAAGACTGACCCTGGGCAAGAAAGAGTCCCAAGAGGCAAAGAACTGACCTTTCACCGCGTAGGGACTTCATATTAGTCAGCCTGACCACGGCCCATCCAGACACTCTGAGACCTACTCAGAAGCAAGCGAGGCCCAGCTGGAGCAGGCCAGCTCTGGTGCCCTCTGTCACAGCTCTGCAGGCAGGGAATGCCTCTGGGTGAGAGGAGGGGGCGGCCTCCACCACGGACCCGGGCTCTGCATGCCAGGGGAACCTAGGGCAGCTGCAGACCGGAAGAGGACGCCTGGAAGACCTTTGCTGCCCCTCCTGTCCCCGCGGCCCGTTCTTTCCTGCTTCCCTGAGGACACTCAGGGCTGACGGTGGACCACCGCAGGCCACGTGGGGCCACGGGCTACCTTCCCTCCTGCTGCTCTCCTGGGCCACTCCTTCCTGGAAGTCTGCTTCTGGGAAAGAACCTGGCGGGCCCGATGCTGCCGGAGGGGGACGTGGTGTCTTCCTCTCCGGTGGTCCCAGAGCCGTACCTTTATTGCGGGCTGCTTGATCCCACAAGATCTTAGTGATGTCGCGGGTCCAGGCCTGCTTTGTCTCCACGCTGCTGGCCTGCAAGATGTAGGTGTCGCTCGACTTCCGCCTCCGGAACCAGATCTCAAAGCGCAGGCCGCTCTCTCCCGAATTCTCGGTCAGGCCGATATCTGCCGTCTGCAGGGACGGAAGAGGAAGTGGAGTGTAGGACGAGAGATGTGGCCCTACTGAATGTGTGTGTGTGTGTGTGTGAGAGAGAGAGAAAGAGAGAGAGAGAGGCCCCTGCTCCTACAGAGCCCGGTCCAGACCACTGTGATGTGCTCCTCCCTTCCCCCCCACCCCCCATGTCCTTCCTCACAACCTTCTGAGAGCACCCCTACATGCAGCCCCTTTCATGCCCCCCCCAGAGGGGCACATCCACTGCTGGGCAGAGCCCCCCCCCTTGCCTTAAAAGATCGCTTGTAAATGTAGACATCCAGCCCGCCTTCCACCCGCTTGGGCTTGCTGAAGAGAATCAGGTCCTCAAAGAGGAAGACGTGGCGCTGGCACTTCCTGCGCCCGACAGTGACGCTGAACTCCTCCTGCCGCACCAGCTGGCCCTGCTCCTTGAGGTTCACCTGGAGGCAGAAGCCACGGGGTGAGTCACCTGGCAGGGAGGCGGGAAGGGCAGAGCCCGCACGAGACGCCCTGTGCCCTCAAGGAGGCGAAGAAGGCCGCCCCCTTTCCCAGCCAAGGGGCTCGGCCGGTCGACTGCCCTCAGCAGCTGTTTTCCTGTGACCTGAAGCTGCTCCACACAGGGGCCACCCCTGGGGCCACCGGCTGACCCCTCTCTGGTGGGGCACCTATCCTGGCACAAGGCTTGCTGTGGCTTCTCACCTGAGGAGGCCTCGCTTCAGCATCTTGCAACTGCTGCTGGCAGCAAGCTTCATGGGGGGGCAGGGGCAGGGGGGGGCGTGGAGTGGGGCAGTCCCCTCCCCTGCCCTTCCCCACATGCCCAGCTCTCCTGGCGGACGACTTACATCGCAGTTCCTGATGGCGTCCATGGCCAAGAGGTCATTGCCATGGCGCAGCTGGAAGCGCACCATCTCCTCGGCAGCTCGCAGGTAGGCCAGCTCCTGCTCCTGGCCTTCCCCGCAGTGCTTGATCAGGTCCTTGAGGAGGAGCGCGTACTTGCTCATGCGCTGGATGGGCTTCAGAAGGTAGGAGGCCAGGTCCATCTTGTCCCCCAGCTGCAGCTGCTTGAACTGAGAGGCAGAGGTGCCCGAGAAGGGCCAGGTGAGCCGAGGCGAGCCGAGGGCCAAACACGCATGCGCACACACAGATACACATGCACCACTGAATCTCTGCTGGATCCCCACGGAAGCCAATACCTCCGTCAGAAGGACTCACCCGGAAGAAGGCGTTTCCTCGGCCGGCCAGAAGCGAGTCGGACTTGGGCTTGTTCTTGCTGTAGAGGGCGTAGAGCCCAAACTGGTCTTTCTGCAAAAGGGAGGCAAAGCTCTGGGAGACCACCTGCTTCCCCTAGGGACACCCCACAGTTCCCCAGGGAGGTCGCCCTGGGCTTGGTCTACGAGGAGAACGCGAGCCCTCTGCCAGAACACTCGGCCGCCCGTGCACTTCTCCTAAGAGGGCCCCTGAGAGGCTGGAAAGGGGGCTGCCTCTCGCCCCCTGGAGGGAGCCCTACCGCTGCCCAAGAGGAGAAGCCCTCACCTCTTGGAAGAGGTCAACCTGCCATCCTCTTCGCAAAACCAGCCCCTCATGGAACTACCCTGAGGAAAGAGGTCGCCTCCGCCCCGCTTCTACACTTAAGTTGGGCCTAAGGGACCCATTTTCACAGGCAGTGCATCACCGCCAAGCTCTCTTTCCAAGCCAGTGCACAGAAGTGGCTGGGGGGGGGGGGGNNNTGTCTCAGGAAGCAGTGGCTGATGCGCAGCGGGTGGTTGCAGCAGTTCTCCAGCTCCTGCAGGAAGTACTGGCTGTGGAAGTCGTAGAGCTTCTCCAGGTTCCCAAAAATGAGGCTCCGCTTCCCCCTCAGGTCTTGGGGCAGGTCTGCCCGTTCCATCTCAGGGAAGTAGCTCTCAATGATATAGCACAAGGAGCGCACGTACTCCCGCTCGGTCCTCACCATCTCGTCCACAATGTGCCGGAGTTGGCTGCAAGAGAGAAAAGAGGGCACTCAGATCCGGTGGCTGCGTGTGCCCCGAGAGCCGCTGGCAGAGCAGCACCGCCTCCCGTAAGGCACCTTTGCAAAAGATGGCCCAGGTCTGCCCAGGAACAGACGTTGAATTCTTGTAAAAGGATGTCCAGGATTGGGATGGTGGCTCCTGCAAAGGGTCAAGAGGAGGATCGCCTGGGCTACAGGGTAGGTCAGGAAGTTCCTGAGCAAGAACCCACAAGGAGAAGGGCCGGCAGCAATGGCTTTCCAGACGCCGGAGGGCAACCCCGGGCATTGTCCACCACAGGCCACAGCTGATGCGCAGGTGCTGCAGAGCAACACGGGTGTGGCTGCCACTTCCTTGCACGTCTCGGTGCTAGGAGAAAACGGCTCCCCCTCCCCACCAGCCCCCTCTGCCCCTCACTAGCCATCTGGGCCAGCCGTGGGGAGGATATAGCCCCCTCCCTCAATGAAGCACCACCCTTGTCCTCATTCCAGTGGTTTGGACCAAAGCACCAAAGTCTAGCAGGTGGAAGTGCCACTTCAAGAGGGAACCGATCCTCCAGGCCCTCTAGAGTTTGTGGGGTGGGTGGGGCAGAAGGAGAGGTGCAATAGGGACCCAGCTGTCCTTGGAAGAACCCGCACAACACACACCAGCCTGCAGCACAAGGCAAGGAACACTGGCCAGCGTTAAGCAACCCTTTCTGCTTTGCAGTTCCTTTTCCCTTGTTTTCTCATACCGGGCTCAGCACAATGTCCTCCTCTGCAGACTTCAGAGGCCACCTGGCAGGGCAGCCTCCTCCCACTTCCTGACTATTTCTCCTTCCGTCCACAAGTAACCCACCCCAGAGATGCAGGTCAGGGCAGGGATGGGGGCCAATTGTCCCCCCACCCCTGGAGCCCACTGTCTGCCACACCCTCCAGCTGCCGCCGCCGCCGCCACTAAAATCTAATATAGGCCAATAAGCCAAATCTCAGCAGTAAGTGGCAAAAGCCATTCAAGCTAGCAGGAAATGTGAATGGTGTTTCCCAAGTCTGGGCCCAAAAATTCAGTGGCAAATGGCCAAAAAAACCACACACACATTTAAAGTCGACATTTCCTGCGCTTGCTTTGATGTCTATTATTCATTTGCTACTAACTTCTGGTGGTACAGTTTTGGGAGAAACTTGCGAGGGGGCATGGGGCCCACACGCTGCCCATCCCAACATCCTGCCTGAGCAGAATCTGTTAATCTGTTGTGCTGATTATTTTTGTAATCAGCTTTCAGATCTTCTTGGGCCAAGGGACAGGCAGATAAACCCATACGTTTCAGATGAAGGCAGGCGTGCAACCACATACGAGCCTGGCAGCAAGGGAACTGCCACGGCCTGCCACGATGCCACCGGGCGTTCCTTGCTTCTTTGCTTCCCCACCCCACCCCCGCCTGGGCTTCCACCGCCCCAGGGGATCCCCGGCAAGTGAGACAGAGAAGGAAGAAATACTCCTCCCTGGAGCGAGCGGGCCGGCTGCCTGCGAGGGCCCACAGCCCAGCCAGACTACCTGGCCCTGCTCTTGGCCTCCATCAGGGGGACGCTGCCGCTCCTCCGCTCTTCTGGCACCCAGCCGGACGAGGCCTCCGGGTGCTGCCGGGCGGCAATCTCCGTGCTGCTGACTTCCAGGCCTTTGATAAAGACTCCTGTGTTGCCACAGTGAGGCGGCTCGCTCAGCGTCCGCTGGCAGGCAGCGCGCAGGCTCTCGGTGCAGGCGAGGTCAAAGCTCTGGGCTTTCCGCAGGGGCCGCTTGGGGAAAAGCTGCGCTGCGGAGACTGGGGTGGGGGGACAGGAGGGGGTTGCCTCTGGGGCTCCTTCCGGGAGGCCCCTCAGCATGACCTCCTCGTCGCAGGCGGAGCCGGGCCGCCCAGGCGGTTCCACCAGCAACGGACTCGAGCAGGAAGCAGGCGCCCCCTGCCCCCTGGGTCTGAGACACTCCCAGCCGCCCAACCCCTTCCCTCTGGACCACCCCGATGGGTGGCCAGGAGCGGTCTCAGGAGGCAGGGGTGGGTGGGCAGCCCCCTCCAGAGGCAGCCAATTCTCCTGGCTGGGCCAGCTCGGCGGCTTCTCCTCCTCCTCCTCCTGCCCTAGGGATGATGAGGATGATGTCTCCCAGTCAGACCTCCCGGCTCTCAGCACAGCCCCCAACTTCCTCTCCAGGCCCCGGCTGGCCTCCTGGCACTTGGACCAGGCGGAGTGCCACCGCTGGAGGGCCTGGCTGCTCTTCAGCTGCACGGCGGCCTCCTTCATCTCCCGGAAGTGAGCGTCGCTGAGGTCGGGGTGCTGCCCCTGGTAGCCCTTCCACCACGCGACGGCTGCTGAGCAAGGCTCCGGAGAGCTGCAGTCCTCCAGGCTGAGGCGGGCAAGGTGCCACATCCCCTCCAGGGCCCAGCTGTGCGCCTGCAGGGGGGGACACAGAGAAAGAGCATTCAGCCACACACACCCCGTAAGACAAGGAGGGTCTTGGACTGCCTGCGGCTCAGGCACAACACAGCGTCTCTCTCTGTCCAAGGCTCAGCTGCACCAGCCCTGCCGCCCACTGGACTGCCAGCTGGACTCTGCACGCAGCTCTGCCAGGCTGCAAGGGGGAGCCCAAGCCTGCCCTGGGAAGGGACCAGAAGCATAAGGCCCTGTTTGGAACCGGAGGGAATCCCTCCACCTCCCTCTTCGGCGGCTCCCTGAGTGCCTGCCTTCAGCCCCCAGCCCAGCCTTTCTTGGGCTTCTCTCGAGTGCCCTTCGTGAGCCCTGGGCAGACAAGCAAGCCTGCTCCGTGGGGCAGGCCGTGATGGGATTAGGGGCGATGGCAGCCCCTGTGTGGGGCAACGGGGGAGCAAGTCATCTCTCTCCAGCCCTATTCAGGTAAAGAGCATTGGAGTGTGGAGGAGCCGGTGAGCGTTTTGCCTGTTCAAACTGCCCCACCCGAGAGAATGTGCTGAGGGTCCTCTGGTTCCTTTGGGCTAAGCTGCCCCTTCGGTCAGGGGAGCCCCCTCCCTTCTGAGAGGCCAGTTATCTTGCCCGGGCCTCAGTGACCCCTAGATCGGATGAGAACTCTCTCTACTTCTTCGGCCCAAGACAGCGGACAAACCCGGGCCCAAGACGGAGCCTAAAGGCACCTCTAAATGCTACCCTTCCCCGAAGGACAACAAGGAGCCCTTCTGGAGAACTCTCTCCATCAAAGAGCGACCACTAATCCCCCTAACAGCTGCATCGAAGAGCCCGCCTTTGGCTAGCTGGCCCATGAGAATAGACAGGGGAAACCTGAGCCGAGCCTTGCTGCCATCAAGACGCGCGGGATCCCTGCGGACGAAAGAGGGCGCCACAGCCCTGCCTTTGGGACTGGAGGCCTTCGCGGGATGCCTGTCGGGACTCTTCTTTTTTTCCCAGGGGCCGGAAAGAACCTCCTCAGTGAAGGCAGACGCTCCAACCCAGCAGGGAACTGGATGTGGGAAATGCTGGGGAGGCGGTCAGGAGAGACCCTCATTGTTCCTCTGTCCACCTTCCAAAGGAAGGAGTGCTAGTCCTGACCCTTCCCTTCTCTCTCTCTCTCTCTCTCTCTCTCTCCCCCTCTCCCTCTCCCCCCCCCCTCTCTCACACACACACACACAACCCGTGGCCTTGGCTCTAAAAGGAAACCAGCACAGGGCAAAGGGAAGAGGCACAGCATCTACCTTCGTCCTCCTGTCATGAGGCTCCATAGCGCCAGCAGCACAGAAAGCCCCTTGCACGGGCTGAGCGCCCTCATCCTTTGCCGAGCCCAGGAGGGAGGCCCAGAGGGAGAGGAGCCTTTTCACAAGCCAGTGTGGCCGGCTGGGTAGCTGCGGCCGAAATGCCAGACAGAGGAGGACTCTCCCCTGGTGACGGGAAGGCCGGGGGTTGGATGGGGGTTGCTCTCAGCTGGGGGAAGGGCCCCCACTGCCGTCGTCAGCTGCACAAGGATAGAAGAGAGGGGCCAGGGCTCAGGGATGACCTTTGCTTTTCACGAGAGGCTCTGTATGTGTGTGTGTGTGTGTGTGTGTGTGAGCGTGCGTGCGCGTGCCAACTCCCCCCTTGATGGAACTCACCCGATCCAGGAATGTGTAGAGCTTGACTGCCTTTTCTGTCCAGCACCTCCTGGCTTCCAGCTGGCTGCAGAACTCCTGCAGGTGGTGACGGCGGGCCTGCAGCTTGGCTCCACACCTGGCATGAAGCTCCGTTGTAGAGAAGCCTCCTTCCCACCTGTCCATCCTCTTCAGAGCTTCCCAACCTTTGTGGCAGTATCCCTGGAAACAGAGCAAAGGAGGGACCTCAGTGCAGCCTGGGGCAGCTTCTCTGATGGCTGCCGAGGGCCCCGAGGGCAGGCTAGGCCAACCTTTCCCCAACCTTGGGAGGGAGGCCCCATCCTGTCAACATAAGCCTCTGTAAACTGCAGAGAAGAAGGTCTCAGTCCCCAGCAGGTCAGAGAAGATCAGCTACAGCCATGCAAACCGCCATTTCTGCAGAAGCAGAGAAATGTAAAACTAACGGTCTCCAGAGCTTCTTGGGCAGCTGTGGGGAGGCAGGAGCTGCAATCTGTATCTCTCCTGCAAGCTTTTCTGCATGCGAGGGCACAGCAGGCCCTCAGCAGTGAGAGCCATTTGGGAAGGTGAGATGCCGCTGAGGCTGAGCTGTTCTGGCAGGGATCTGGCCTGAGAAAAGCCAAGAGGGCCCACTGGGGTTCTGCCCGTTGGCCACAGTGCTCCAACTCTCCTCGGGGCTGGCCTCTGCCTTCAGCTAGACCGCAAAATGCACCGAGAGTCTCACGGAGGCCTTGTGAGGGATTAGAAAACCTGAGAGAATTCTGTGACACCACGGAGACTGGCCTGACTCTCAAGAAGATGGCAGGGGTGGAGAGCGAAAAGGGGCCAGCAGCACCCAAATTGGAAGGAAACCTATGACTTTGGGGCTTTCTTAAATACCAGAAATCAGGGGAGCCCAACACCAACGGGGACTCCGTGCAGATCCTGTCTCAGTCGCTCCCTTGGGTGGCAGCCTGGCCACGGAAGCAGCTCCCACGTGCAGCTGCATGCCGGGCCTGGGGCCTCGTGGCCATCCTTTCTGGGGACCAAAGCACTCCAAGCTGGGGATGGGATATGCCAGATGTGCAGCCAGGGGTTTCTTTGGGTCCAACGTCCCCATGGCTCTGCAGGGCTGCCCCGTGGCAAAGAAGACATGCCCTCCAAGGGGGCCAGACTGGGCCCCACAGAAGAAGAGGGGCAGCGGGACTCTCTTACTCTTGCAACAACTTCAAAGTCCTGGAACTGCCTTTGCACTTGAAGCACAGCCTCCAAAGAACCGTCTTGCCCGCTCAGCTCCACGAGCCGCATCTGGCCGACGTTCTCGATCCAGCTGCTGACCTAAGAGAAAAGGAAGCCAAAGCAAGTGTCCGTGAGGGACGTCTCCTCCCAGCCAGGAAGGCACCTGAGGGAGGGAAAGCTGCCCCTGTGCTTGGGAGGAGGGGGAAGCTGGCTACCGGGGCGGGAAGGCTCCTTGCCTCCAACCCTTGCTAACCCCTGATGGCCTCTACTTCCAGGCTTTCCTTTCCACCACATGTCCTTAGGCGGCTTTTATGTCTTTCATTGGCAGGCAGGCCAATAACTGTAGATACTGCTTATTTGGCAGAGAAAACATGGTGATGGTGGTGCTGATGAAACATTTAAGTTGCTCTTCTTGGAACAACACCTGTGGCTGGGTTGTATAGCTCTGCATTTCATTGATCTCTCATGCAGAGCCTGCTCGCTCCTTGCCAAGTGGAACTGGTCGGAAGCACTCTGGCTATGGCGGCCTCGACAGACCCAGAAGCGGCCGCAACTCCCCACCTGACAGGTCGGCGAAGGGTCTGCTGGGCCGTTGGTGTGCGTGCCTTGGTCTCACACCCAGCCAGGAGCCCACCCACCCAGAGCAGAAGATAAACCCCTGAACCCGTCAGCCGCTGCCACCCACCTCCTGGGAGGCATCTTCAAATGCCTCAAAGTCTATCACCAGCTCCAGGGTCTGGATGCGCTTGTTGGAAGCCAACACCAGCTGGTGGATGCCCTCGTCCACTTGGTTGTAAAGCGTGGTGGCCCCCGCCAGGGCATACCTGAAAAGAGAAGACGGCAGAGAGATCGGTCCGGCCTGCAGCTCCCGTTCCTGTCAGGGCAACCCAGTAGCTGCCGTCTCTGAATCCCCAGGGGGGGGTTGCTCCCACTCCTGCGAGTGGCTTCCGTGCCCTGGACATACTGGTGAATGAGGGAACGGCCCAGCAGACCCTCCCCAGTCTTCCTGGCGAGGAGCAGCAGGCGACGGCGGCTCCAAGGACTCGTCCTCCGGGGCTCCCGTCTCTTGTCAGGCTTGTGCAGGACGGGCGCCTCCTCCTGGCGACAGGGGCAGCAGCCTTGCCACCCAACTCACCGGCAGTCCTCCGACAGAGCCATCGCGGAGGAGACGTCCTTCCTCAGGCGGGCCAGGAGTGCCCCACCTTCCAGCTGCAACCGAACCAGCCGTGGGTCTTCCAAGACCGTCTTCATTAACTGCCTGTCACGCTGCAACAAGGCCTGGGCCTTCTGGGAAGAGGAAGCAGCTCTGGTCAGGGTGTACACTCCCCCCTCTCCCGAACACCACCAGGTTTCCCTCCCGAGCTTTCTCCTTAAACCTAGGGAGCCCCTCCCAAAACCCCCGCAAAGAGTCCGGTATGGTCTGTCCGACCAAGAAGGAGGCGACGGCTGCAAGCAAAGTTTTGCCCCACTGAGCACAAGGCGGTGAATCTGCAGGTGGACAGCCCCTGGCCCCTTGCTCACTCGCTCGCTTACTCGCTCGCTCGCTCTCAGAGCGAAGAGGGCTCAGGAGCACAAGGCGTCTGCAGGTGGACAGCCCCTGGCCCCTTGCTCACTCGCTCGCTTACTCGCTCGCTCGCTCTCAGAGCGAAGAGGGCTCAGGAGCCAGGGGACCTGACGGCTTGCTCTCTGCTCAGCTCAGGCTGCCAATCTGGGCAGGCCACCGTGTCCCCATCTCAAGTCCAAGATGCTGTCCACTGGCTAGGCTGCGCTGGCCGCCGGCTACCAGGCAAAAGAGCGACCCCTGGGCCACAGTTCCAGGCCTGCTCCTGCCTGTTCTGCCTCTGGTTAAACCTCGCCTGAGAGAATCCTGTTGTGCAGGAAGGCCAGTCCGTCTGGCCACTGGAGGGCCTCTCCAGCCTGTCCCGGGT